TCCCTTAAGGCATGTTGGAGTCTCTGGGCGCAGGGACCCCATAAGTCCTAAAGTCTCCACCCTACAGCCCCCCTAAACCCCACGCCCTAAATCCTAGACCTTAAACCCTACACCTTAACTCCGAAACCCTAGACCCTAAATCCGAAGCCCTAAACCCTCAACCCATGAATCCTCAACCCTTATCCCCACTCCCGAGAGCAGTTTTTTCCTTTTTAAAACTGTAGTCGACTACCTTAGACGGCCCCCCCACCCTGTAATAGTGACTATAAGGATTATATTAGGGTCCTAGTATATTCCTATTATACCACTATTACAGGGTGGAGGGGCCTTCTAAAGAACACCCCACCGGAGCCTTATTCTAATTATTCAGGCCACTGCATGATAGAGACCTTGTAGTATCCCTTAGAGGTACCCTTTTAAGGAAACCCCTATATTTTAATCATTAAGGCCCCCGTTTAAACACTCCGAAACTCTGTAACTTGCAACCCTATACACCTTAACATCCTTATAACAAGCCCTTAACCCTAAACCCCTTAAACACTGAACCCTAAACCCTATTGCCCTGCATCCTCAATCCTAAACCCTGCACCCTAAACTCTTTGTTCTAACTATTAAGGCCCCCGCAATTATCCCCAAATTCGAGAGCAGGCCGCATGAATCCTCAACCCCCTAAACCCTGAACCCTAAACTTTTTATTCTAACTATGAAGGCCCCGCAATTACCCCTAAATTCGTGAGCAGGCTGCATTTGCCACCCTCGGTTCGGAAGAGGCCGAAGCCAAGGCAAGAGCAGCGCGATAAGCTTCCTAAAAGGGTTCAGGGTGGAGGGTTTAGGGCAGATAAGTTTCCCCAAAGCTTTAGGGTTTAGGTTTTCGGGTCTAGGGCTTAGGGAGGCACCGTGTTCTACTCCGGTGCTGTCAGTGCCGTGAAAATTCTATCGAGGGCTTCCGATGTTAAGGTTCAGGGTTCTGCTTAGAGGTTCATGGGACTTAGTAACTAGAGCTATAATTAAGGTAACTACACTTATGTGTACTTTTAATCCCAGTTAGGGTACGTCTAACTGTACTTACTAAGTCCCATGAACCTCCAAGCGGGTAGGTTTAGATGTCGGCTTTAAAGTTTACGGCCATTCGTGGAGTAGGAGCTGTAAGGTTGAGAGGGAGAGAGGCGAGGGGAAGCGGGCTTCTTGGAAGCGCTGCATCTACTAAGTAGATTGCCACGATTTAATCTGAAACAACTCCGGCACCAGCGCGGGATGCGGCCTCCAGCAATGTGACTGCACCCTTAAGCTCAATTGAACTCTACACCCCAAGCCCCCAGACCCTAAACCCTATACCCTAGACCCCAAAACCGAATTGAAGGCCACGACCTTCAACGAGGGTCCCGTCATTGCCTTTGAGGACGTGTCGATTGCTTTGGCCTCGGTGCCTGAAGGATTCAGGTTGGCGACATGGAGTTGTGTAGAGTTTTTAGGGTTTTAGGTTTAGGGGTTTTGTAAGGAGGTTTGTAAAGGAGTTTTAGTTTAAAGGGTTTTGTAACAGGACTTTGTCGGTTATTTTGTAAGGGTTTCTCCCTGGGTTTTTGCAGGGTGTTAGGGGTCAGGGCTTGGCGCTTGGGGTTAAGATTTTACAGATGAGGGCTGAGAGTCTGGGAAATCCTGAGCTGAGAGCCCAGGTGGGCAGAGGTCTTCCTGGTGGTGGTGGTGGTGGTGGTGGTGGTGGTGGTGGTGGTGCTTGATGACGATGGCAGTCGCGATCGCAGTGGCGGCAATGATGGTGATGATGTGGTTGGTGACGGCGGATATAATGAGTATGAAGGTGATCACGGTCGGGCACATGATGGTTGAGGTGATTGTAATGTTGATGATGTTGATGATGTGAGTGAGGTTGTTGATGATGATCGTCCTTTTGAGTATGATGATGATGACGATGATGATGAGGGCATGTTGTTCCATGTGGACGATGGGATGATGGTCGGTTCTCGTCATCCTCATCCTCAGATCCTGAGGCTCATCTTCCCTCATCAGGTTGACTTTTCTTGTGATAGCCGTCGTCATCATCCTCATCATATATCACAAAGAGACTCACCACCAACATTGCCAAACTATCTCCGTCGTCAGGTGGCGATGCTGCATCATCAGCAAGTACTTCTTTAGAGCACACCCTAAACCCTAAACCCTAGGCCCTAGACCAAAGAAGCTGCGATCAGAGTGACTCAGGTGACGCCGACGGGTATTCCTCTGCTTGCAGGTCTCACGTTCCAGGCCAGTGAGGTCATAATCGACAGGTACCTTTGAAGGGATCCATAAGGGCTCCTTTAAGGGATCTTTGAGGGATCTATAGCGTTGAGATCTAGGTTACTTGGCGTTCTTCTGGTTGGCTCTTAGGACTTTCACTTTTATTGGGTTTCTATACGAACTCTAATAAGGAGGCCAAAAGTTTGACTTTTCGGAGGGGTTCAGAAGTCAGCCAAGTTAAGTTTGCAGCAGCGAGGCACTAAACCCCAAACCCTAAACCGAGCAGCCAGCAGTTGCAGAATCGGAGCCATAGGTCCTAACCCAGAGAGGAGTCTTCCGAAACGGCAAGAGAGTTTTCGGGAGCTTCAACAACGACCCAAAGATACTGTCACACGTGCGCGTCTATACAATATATTTATACATGTATATGTATTAATATATATATATATATACACACATGTACTAATATATATGTATATGTATATATATATATGTATATATACATACATATGTATTAATATATATATATATATATATATATCTGTATAGTCTCTCTGTACACGTTTCCGTATATGTCAAAACATAGAGGAAGGCTGCTCCAAATTGCTCAGAGAGCCCAAGATTCCTTCATCAAGGAGTCGATTTTAAACCAGAATATGAAAGCTCCCTCTAGGTTTTACGGTTTAGGGTTTGGGCATGTTTAGGGCTAACTGAGAGTTTAGGCTTTTTTTGAGGACTTCATACTGGAACTGCCTGCACAAGAGGAGTAACTGTGCGTGATGCTTTCGTGGAACAGTATCTGAAGGATCCTCAAAAGAAACCCCTAAACCCTAAACCCTGGGCAGCGTGCAAAGTTTCATGCCTTCCTGGCCCGGTTTACCAAAGTCTCCAAACCCTAGTGCACTAAACCCTAAACCCTACTTGGAGGGTCGGGGGACTTACTAAGTAGTTATTTTGTAGAGTTATAAGTACCATAACCCCAATTAGGATCCCTTTTAGGGTACTTATAAGTCTACTTAGTACCCACTTACTAAGTCCCCCGACCCTCCAAGTATGAAACCCTAAACCCTAACCCCTTGCCCCTCCAAGTAGGTCCGAAACCCTGAACTGATCTGACCAGCCTCAGACTCTCCGACCGCACGAGGCTGTAAGAGCATCAAGATCAGGGTTGAGGCAGTAGTTAGGGACCCAAAAAGCACATAAGCATAAGCATTTTATGGGGATATCCCTACCTTATTGGGCTTCCTTTTAAGGGGATTTATATGGGATATCACTATCCTTCTTTTTGCTTATGTTCTTTTTTTGGGCCCTAACTAGGGCTCTGTTTAGGGCTCTGTTTGAAGCTTCAGGATTTTATGTCGGGTCTTAATCATAGGAGGCCAAAATGGGTTTTGGCCTATGGGGGTTTAATAGGGATTAGGGTTCCCATAATAGGGCTCATATGAAGGACTCTCTACCCCAAGAATCTTAAACCCCCCTTTTGGCCTCGCATCACTTAAGATTTTGGGGTATGGGTCTGTGGTTGCAGGATCGAAAGTGGTACGGTTGGTGATATAAATCCTGCATTACCCCTAATAAGCAACATACCATGATTCCCATAGTTTAGGGTCCTTAAGGTAATGCAGGATTTTATATCATCAACCTAAACAAAACCCCTATAGATTCCTTAAAGGAACACCTTAAGGGTACCCTTATAGATCCCTTTAAAGGGACCTCATCCGCCGTAGTTGCACGTCAAAGAGCGTTTGCTTGCAACCCTGTCGAACCCTTCTCGGAAAGCCTTGCGAGCATCTCATCTTGCCGCTCGACCTAGCAAAATACGGTTGATGACATAAAATCCTGCATTACCTTAAGGGCCCTACACTATGGGAATTATGGTATATTCCTTATTTTGGGTAATGCAGGATTTATATCATTAACAGTATCAAAACACTTGGAGGGTCGGGGGACTTAGTAAGTAGGTAAGAAGTAGACTTATAAGTACCCTAACAGGGATCCTAATTGGGGTTATGATACCTATAAGTCTATAAAAATATCTACTTACTAAGTCCCCCGACCCTCGAAGTAGGAGCCCCATTGTAGGGGCCTTGAATCATTAGAATAGGATTCCTTAGGGTTCCTGTAAAAAGGGGTGTATAAGGCTTGCTATAATGGATCTATAGCAGGGTTCTAATAATCAACAACCACAAAGCATGTTATCCTAAGCCGTCGACCATACTCCTCAGCAGCAAACACCTTCATCTTCGAATCCAAAAGCCTTCGCCGAAACCCTAAACCCTAAACCCTAAACCCTAAACCCTAAACCCTAAACCGTCAATTACCCTAAACCCTTCAGCCCTTTGAGCCTCCTTCATAAGCCAAATGGGAGTTTCCGAAGATTAGGGATCCTTTAGGGCTCCTTTAAAGGGTTACTATAAGGGTACTGATAGGGTTCCTTTGAAGGGTTACTATAACGGTACGATAAGGGTTCCTTTAAAGGCAGCGAAAGGGTTTTTTTCCGAAGATTAGGGGTACCCTGTTTTGGTGTCCCTATAACAAGGATCCTACTGTTTAGGGCACTTAATTGGGATCCCCTGGTTCTAGGGTTTAGCGTTTAGGGTTTAGGGTCCCTCTGCAGGCCAACTCAGCCAACACAATCATATTATGGGGTGAATACGGATTTGGCAAGGTTTATGGTGTTTACAGAAGTTCTCACAGTGTTGTGAGCTTCAAGGGTTTTACGGTGTTGTGAAGTGCTAGTGACTATCGTTACTGCGGTGCGTGCAATGTCCATTTCGGTCACGGTCACCCTGCTCAGTGGCGCCCACGCAACAGTTAGCCTTCCTGGAGATGCAACTGCGGCAGACCTGCGGCAGAAGGCACAGAGGTCTCTACAAACATCCTTGGGAAAACTTATTAGTGCCTCTGGAGCGCTGTTAGGCGCATCTGCCACGTTAGCACAGTCCGGAGTGCAAGATGGCGACACCATCACTGCTGTCACACAGGCCTTAGATCCCTAATACCCAAACTTTAAACTTTTTGGGTTCTTATAGTTTAGTAGGAATCGGAAAGTTTGACCTTTTATTTCTGTGGCTTATTGGGGGAGTAAGAGGCTGTGGCGGTGGCAGCATCTGATCGAGCCTTTGCTCTTATCCGGGCAGACGGCTCCGTCGTGACATGGGGTCATCCTCATTTTGGTGGTGATAGCAGTGACTCAGTAGCTGCGGGGGTACGTTTTACATTTTTGGGGATCGTATTACCTCTTATGATAACTGAAAGTGTGCTCCTTGTAGGGCTTATGACCTCAGCAACTAAGGTAGAGTGCAACACAAATTGCATGACGTGCTGCAGATCAAGGCTGCCCGCTCAGCTTTTGCTGCGCTGCGAGAGGACGGAGTTGTAGTTTCATGGGGCTGTCTCTATGATGACTTTTCTGATTCTTCTTCCTCATCTTCTGAATCCGATTCCTCCGTCAACGAGGTGACGGTCAAATCTATTCAGAACCAACTTCGTGATGTGCGACAGATCCAAGCAACAGGAAATGCTTTTGCGGCCATCAAGGAAGATGGGTCTGTGATTACCTGGGGTGCTTCGAAGGCTGGCGGAGACCTAAACCCTCTTCCCAAAACAATCCTAAGCCCTACGCCACAACATCCCTAAACCCTGAAGCCTAAACTTCCTAATCCCTAATTCTGAAACCCTGAATCAGAAACTACTCCGCAACTGGCAATGCAAGTGGCCCATCAAGAAGAATACTATAGCGGCCTTAATAATTAGAATAGGATTTCTGGGCCCACTATACGATAACTGTTTTAAGGAACCCCCACAATAGTATAGGTAATTCTTTAGGCCCCTACATTACCCCGACACCCTTCTTAGGCTGGTGGAGACAGCGGGTTGGTGCGTGATCAACTTCACAATGTGCGGCTGATCCAGGCAGCTTAGGGTTTAGGGTTTAGGGTTTTAGGGTTGAGGGTTTAGGGCTTTAGGGTTTAGGGTTTAGGGCGGCTAATCCAGGCAGCACTGTAGTAGAATCCAGAAGGTTGGAACATCATTATCCCCATGCCATTAGGGTAAAGTATAGGGAATCCCAGCGCGAATCATCCTTAAGCCATGTTCCAACTTGTTGGACTTCACTGTAGCGAAAGTCGCCCTAAGCCCTAAACCCTGGACCCTAAGCCCTAAACTAACCCGTAAAGTCGCCCTGAGAGGATCCCCTACAGAGACCCTTATAGAACTGTGAAAGGAACCAGGGTTTAGGGTTTAGGGTTTCCAGAAAAATAGAAGAAGCACCCGAACAGGTATCCTACAAAAATGTGGTTTAGATAGGCTTTTTGGTAGGGATTCCATTTTGTAGATACTTCCCCGGGGTTGGGGCAAGCCATTATCGAACTAAGTGACTAGAGTCATACACATAAGGTAACTCGACTTGTAATTGGTTGTTATGACTCCAGGTAAGGTGCATAGACTGAACCTCCGAAAGCCCAAAACCGGTTAGAACCCAAAAGAGCGCTCAAGAAACCCCAAGCCCTAAAGCCCTAGATCCTAAAAAAGGGGCCTACTCAATTACCAATACTACTGTGTGCGTTCCTGAGTATGACTATCGTATAATATTACCCCCCCAAAAAAGAAACCTATTCTAATTATTAACTTGCTTCAGTCTCTGTCCCATGTTGCCGTTTGCCTTGTTTAAGTCTGTGGCCCGCGGGGGTCGTTTGTGAGTGTCCGTGGATGGCCCGTGGTGGGTGGTGAGTATCAGTGAGCAAGCATCATGAGAGCATCATCCCTCCTGGGGTGCATGGCATCATGGGCGCCAAAAAAAGAGATCACAAAAACCCCAAACTAACATCACGAAAAAAACCCTACGTCCGAAAAAACTTAACCCTAAACCCCCATGTCATAGAACCCTGCTATAGATCCCCTTTAGACCCTTTCAAAGGACCCCCTAAAGGTACCCTATTCTAGCTATCCGACCTCAAGACTCAAACTTTATCAACGGTTGAAGCCGTGGGCTCGTACGGTTGATGATCTAAAATCCTAGGGTCCCTTTAAAGGGATCTATAGGGGAACATTTAAGGGGGCTCCTTTAAGGAATCTTTAGGGTTTAGGGTTTAGGTTGATGATATAAAATCCTGCATCACCTTAGGGACCCAAAACTGTGGGAATTATAACCCAGAGGGTCCATACTTGGAGGCCCTGTTGACTTAGTAAGTCTACTTAGTATCCCCTAGAAACCCAATTATAATCCCCATAACCCACCTTACTAACCCTACTTACTAAGTCAAAAGGGCCTCCAAGTATACACTATTAATTATGGAGTTAGGTCCCCAAAGCCATAATGGGGATGGCCTTGTAGGGGCTAATACCATAATAGTAGTGTATACGGACCCTTTGGGTAATACATTCTTTATTACGTGTCATGCAGGATTTAGATCATCAGCCGTAGTTTGGGGCCTTTAGATCTGGGATCCTTCTGTAAGTACAACATACCCTAGATAGGCTCTTAAGGGTCCCTAGAACCCCCTCAAAAAGGTCTAAGGGTCCATATTAGAGGCCCATAGACTCTAAGCCCTAGACCCTACTTCTTTCTGATATCCTCCAAACACAGGCAGAAACCTAAACCCTCAACCCTAAACCCTGAACCCTAAACGCTAAACCCTTAACCACAGACAGAAACTCTGAGCCCTCAACACCTTCAAAGCCCAGAGGCTCTGATACAGGGGTCGGATGGGGTTCGGGTTTCAGGGTTCGGGGCCTAGGGCTTAGGGCTTAGTTAGTGTTCACCTCTTTCAGTCCCTGAAAAGTTGTTTTTGTGATGTGCTTGAAAGACTTATTCCAAGTACCATACGAACCCCATTCTGTAGCTCTCATCGTAGCTCTATTCTACTTATGAAGGCCCCCTAAACCCAAAAGCCTAACATAGGGGCCTAAATAATCACCAATACTATTTTGGGTGTTCCTCCCCAAACCCTAGACCCTAAACCCCAAGCTACAAACCCAAAACCTAAACTCTAGACCCCCTCTTTATTGAAGGGCAACCCCCCAAGCCCGAAGCCAAGGCGACCGACGCGGCCTTTGCTGCCCTTCGCAGCGACGGAACCTTTGTGGTAGAGTAGGTCGGTTTAGAGTTTAGGGTTTAGGGGTACTTCGAAATGTTTTTTTTGGCTCCTATAATCCCTAAGAAACAGCTGAAGTTATGATTTTGTTCTAAGTTCGGTATAGAGTAGGTAACCTTTCACCCCATTCGGTGTGGGGTTTAGGGTTGTGTGGTATTATCCTCCCAATATGGTCCATAAGATTAACCTTCAGCTCCCAAAATATACTGCTTGAAATTTCATGAGGCTTCGTAAATTGGGTTATGAATAAATTATAGCACCAGTTCAGGTACAGTACTTAGAACTGTATTTGCTGAGTCCCATGAACTTCCCGGACAACTAAGGAACTGTGGTGACATGGGGGGAGTACGGCATGGGTGGGTGCTGTGATCATGTGCGAAGCAAGCTGAAGGATGTTCTGCACATTATTGGCTGCAGAGAAGGCTCGGGGGGGGGCTCAAAAAGAACAGATAATAAACGTTTTACAAAGGATATCCCTAGCTTTTTTTGCTTCATTGTAGGGGGATTGAGATAAGCCTCCTATCCTGGCTTTTGCTTTCTTTGGGCCATAAAGGCTTCTATGCGATTACTGCCGATGGCCACGTGGTGCCTTGGGGGTTCTTTGATGACGTGAACGAGATGCACAACACCATGCTGACAGAGGTGGATCAGTTTCGGGGTGGTAAATATGCCTGGGCGGCCGTGAACAAGGATGGACAGCTTGCTGCCTGGGACTTTGATGCGGGACCCGGCAACCCACTCCGGCGCTTCGAAGAGGTTTCGTGCATACAGGTCTGTGGCTTCGGCTGCCGCTTGGCTTTCGCTGCTCTTCGCAAGGATGGATCCGTGATGACGTGGGGGCGGCCGGCCGTCCGTGGCAGCAAGCTAGTCCAGTCTCAGCTCGTGAACGTTGTGCAGATTCAGGCTTCAGCTTTGGCATTCGCCGCATTACGCTCCGACGGGTCAGTGGTCACCTGGGGACACAGGAGGGCAGCAGACGCAAGAGAAGTCCAGAGCCAGTTGCAGAATGTCAAGGCCATCCAAGCTAACTCGCATGCCTTCGCTGCTCTGCGGGAGGATGGATCAGTGGTGGCTTGGGGCGCGCCGGGAAGCGGAGGCTGCACAGGTGCGGTGCAAGGGCAGCTGAAAAACGTCACTTATATCCAAGCCAACCTTTCAGCCTTTGCTGCAATCAGGGCCGATGGATCTGTCGTAACTTGGGGATGCCCAGCTTCCGGCGGTGACAGCAAGCAAGTAAAGGAGCAGCTGGGCCGATCTGAGGAGGACGACCGGATTCTGTCCCAGGCTTTGGGTGCAGCGAAGGCGAAGAAGCCGAAGGTCAAGGCAAAGCCCAGGGAAAAGCCCAAAGCAAAGGCCAAGGCCAAGGCCAAGGCCAAGGCAAAGGCCAAGGCAAAGGCCAAGGCCAAGGCCAAGGCCAAGGCCAAAGCACAGGTGCTTCCAGTTCGCAAGAGGCCGGCTGCAAAGTAAACACTTCAGTGCTGAGTTATTTCGCAGAATCGTTTGCAGTCTTTAGATGTCTTTAGCTCCTAAACCCAAACCCAAGGACCCTCAAACCCTAAACGCTAAACCCTAAACCCTGGTACCCTTTACCCGAAACCCTTAAAGCCCTAGCCCATTGCTCCTCACAGCCTGTCTGTGGTGCAGCATCACACCCACAAAGCCTTCCCAGAGCGCCAGACTCTACTATAGGGGGCCGAAATAGGTTTAGGGTTTAGGGGTTTAGGGTTTAGGGTACCAGTACTATTTTCGAGGTTACTCATAAAAAGTAAAATATAATGGGGCCTCAAAACCCTATTCTAATTATTAAGGTTCCTGTAGTAAACGCCAAGATCCATGCCTGAAGCCCGACATCCGAGATGCCGGAGTCTATGAAACGGTCCGTTGCTTTTGAGAGATCGGGTATGCGCTGCAATGCATCGTTAGGGTTTGCGGGCCCGTTATACTATACCTATAATAAGCAACCCCCAAAATAGTATAGGTGTGTGTTTGCAACTCAGAAGTGAAGACCTGTAAACATGAACGCCATCGCTGTCAACACACCCACTATCGTCGTCGTCTTCGTTATCATCCTCCGTGGCATCGTCGCGGTCAACATCGCCCATCGCAGTGCAATGCTTAAACTCTCAAGTTAGGGCCTAGGATCAGGGGTCCAGGCCTTTCAAGATTGTGGTTTTGCAGGTTGACGGCTTCAGGTTGTGAGATCTAGGCTGCATAGCGTGTTGGGATTTGGGTCGTAGGACGACGTTGCCAGATTTCGATGCTACCCGAAACCCGAACCTCTAAACCCAAAGCCCTGAATGCTGAACCGTAAACCCCAGCCCCGAAACGCCGAACCGTCAATCCTGAACGGTGAACCCTCAACGCTAAACCTACGCAGAAACCACCGCCCCAGCGTCGGCAAAAAGGATTTACACAAGTTTCAAAGAGTCTTCAACCGTAATGATTTGGAAGGTTTCTTTGAGAGTGTTAGCAGGGTTTTAGAAGGGCTTTGCAGGGCTTCATCAGGGATATACAGGGTTTTTAATGGTGCCCCACCAGCTTTTTTTGCAAGGATTTTGCGATGAAAGGGTTGCATAATGGCTTTATGTTAAAACAAGCCTGAATCTTTCAGAACAAGATCCATCAGGGTCAACATTGCACAACAGTATACTCCCCAAGCCTCATCTAACTATGAAGGCACCTATACCAAACCCCCATTATCAGCCCTTATAGTCACCCCTTTACAGGAACCCTGAAAAGGAACCCAAATCTAAGCATAACGACCCTCTAGCCAACTGCAGGTCAATCCTGGCAGGCACCTGGTTATCTGCGGCCACAATGGTGCTGGCAAGCTTTGTGCTGAGAAGTTAAGTTACGGGCTTAGCGCTACCCCTGAACTCTAAAATCAAGGCTTAGGCCGCCCACCCCCGTGGGTGGGCGGCGCTTATGCCCCTCGACCTCGATGGCGCAGAGCCACCCAATATGCGTGCCACGCTGATACTGTTAATGAAAAATACTAAACCCTTGTGGTCGGGCCAGTTTGTGTCCCCAAACCTTAGTCTTGTAATTAAGGTCCCTAAACTACTCCGCGAACTGCTGGCGCGACAGGAGCTGGCCCTCTCCAAGACCCTAAACCCTACTAGACCCTAAACCCCAAGAGGGCGGCGATTCTTGGCCTTAAGTTTTACACCTTTCGGAAGGCTCTTGCAAGGATTTCAGGCTCAAGTTAATACCACGTCTTTTTGGGTTTAGGGCTTAAGGGTTCAGGGTAGGTTGTTGTCGTGAGAAGGTTCTTCTAGAAAAGGTGCAGCCCGGGGAAGTTAGTAATTAACTCAGGACTTGGGCAGTTCTCGAAATTGGGGTCCCCTTCTTGGGTCCCCCAAATAGTATTGCATCCCTGTAAACAGGACCTTTACTTAGATCCCCAATACCGAAACTTTAAACTTTTTGGGTTCTTACAGTTTAGTAGGAACCGGAAAGTTTGACCTTTTATTTCTGTGGCTTATTGGGGGAGTAAGTTTAAAGGGCCCCTAATTTAGAGAACTCCCCGTCTAACATCCAAGGGTAAAAGGAGGGACCCTTAACAAGGACCCCTAGGTATATACCCTTAATATAGCCATTATATACCGATTATATCGCCCATTATAGGGTAGGGGTCCCCATTAAGGGTCCCTCCTTTTCCCCTTTGATAAAACCAAGGTGCGAGACTCCCTTGGAGTCGGCTTGAGGTTTTAGGAGGCTTTTAGGCTTTGGGTTTCGAGGGTTTGGAGGTTTAGGGGTTTAGGGGTTTAGGGTTTAGGGGTGTAGGGTTTAGGGGTTTAGGGTTTAGGGTTTAGGCTTTGGGTTTCGAGGTTTGGGGGTTTTGGGGTCAGCGCCTGGGTGTGGTTCTTTCGAGCTGGAAACGGGGTAAAAGGCCTTTGTCGTTGAGGTTCATGGTCCCTGTTTGGGTACCCTAAATATTAGGTGCCATATTATAATAAGGACCTAAAAAGGGACCCATCTAAGGACTCATATATCAAGGCTTTTGGGCCCAAAGACCATATTATACAAGGCTTTTGGGTTATGTTGATGCCCAGGGTTTTTGGATGCCCTGAAATAATAGCCCGTGTTGTAACAGGGACCCAAAAGGGACCATAATTTTGACAGCCACCCATGTGTAGTTGTAGAAGCAGGGAGGGTCGTGCCTTATGGGGTCTTTGATTTCATATGAGCTTAGGCTTTCATTGAAACATGGGTAAGTTTGAGAAGCTGCCCCCACCCTGAAATAGTGGTATAATAGGAATATAGTAGGGCCCTAGTATAACCCTATATAACCCTTATGGTCACTATTACAGGGTGGGGGCAGCTTCTAAGGTAGGTTTTAGTAGGACAGCAAGCCCGAAACCCAAAACCCTGCTGGGAGGTTCAGGTCCATGAGACTTGCCACGTACAGTTCTAAGTACCTCATCTGGGGTCATAACCTAGGATGCCCAGTAGTACCCTTATTCCCTTTTAGTAGTCCTAGGTTCCTTATAAAGTTACCCAATACCAAAAAGAGAGGCCTTTTTATTCTTAGGTTACTGGGTATCCTAGCAACTTGTTAAAGGTTGAGTTGCCATATTTATTTACAGACCTGCTTACTAAGCCCCATGAACCTCTATCAGGTAATTTTTGAATCCTAAACCTTGAAAGGAACCCTGCAAGGGAACCTATGACAGAACCTTATAGTACCCTCAGACTTAGAAGGAACCCTGCCTAATCCCCTAGTTACTAAGCCCCACGAAGCTTTAAGCAGACCGCAAGCCCTAAACCTCTGTACGTAGAACCCTTGGAGGAACCCTTCAAGGAGAGCCTCTTAAGTTACTAAGTCCCATGAAACCCAAACCCTAAACCCTAGGTCGCATGAACCCTAAACCCTAAACCCGAAATCCTAAACCCTAAACCCTAAAACCCTAAAACCCTAAACCCTAAATCCTAAAACCCTAAACCCTAAATCCTGAAACCCTAAACCCTGAATCCTAAACCCCAGGCCCCATGAGCCTTAAACCCCAAACCCGAGGTCCCATGAACCCGAGGTCCCATGAACCCTAAACCCCATGAGCCTTTAAGTGGGAGTTTCCGAAAGTAGGGGACTCTAATATAATACCCTCTATCGTAGGATCCCTATTATGAGGACCACAAAATAAGGTACCCCCTAATTTTCGGAAACCTAAACCCTTACAGTAGCCCTTTCAAAGGAACCCTTATAGTACCCTTATAGTCCCCCTCGGAATCTCCCAAGTGCTTGAGGTCTTCGATCTTCCGCTGCCTCGGCGGCTTATGGCCCGTAGTCATCGACCCAGAATGAATGAGGGCTTAGGGTTTGGGGTTTGGGGGTTTCAGTACTGGTTTATAGGGTTCCTTTAAAGGGAACTATAAGGGCTGTTTGGGGGTTTCCGGGACTAGGGTTTAGGGTTTTGGGGGTTTGGCGCTTTCGGGGTTCAGGGATTCAGGGTTTGGGGTTTAGCGGTTTCGTGGTTCAGGGGTTTTGGGGGTTCGGGGGTTTGAGGGTTTGGGGTTTTGGGTGCTCCATCGGTTGGTTGCCGTACTGAGAGTAGAGTTAGGGTTGTCCAGCTGTGATGATCCTGCCCACAGGCCGCCATGTACCAAACCCCCTACGTTTGTCTCACAGCAGCTGGTGTCCTTCCACGAGGGGCGTGAGCAGAAGTTCCTTGCAAGAGAACAACTTCCCGTTGTAAAGAAAACAAAGGCTTCGTCTGAAGCTTCACTTGAGCTGCCTTGTCCGAATTTGAATGAACTTTGGTGATACAAATTGTAAGAGTCAAGGGCAAAGGGGAAGGAAACCAGCATTTCTGGTAGTTCATTCCCTGGTTCAGGCCAGCGTCCGACGACGTGGGTCCCCGAGGACGACGGCTTCGAAGCAAGAGGCTCAAGCCATCCAAGCCGCATCCGCACGGCGCGGAGCCTGCAGCCTCACAGGCCCGTGCCTTATTGGCCATATCCAACAGCGATGTTCTGCTGGAGATGGACGAAGAAAAAAGGCTCCGAGGGCAGACAGCAAAAAGAAAGCAGCGAAACCAATCATTGAGTACGACGAGGATGACTTGGATTGTATGCAGGAGATCATGCGGTGCTTTTGCAGAAAGTGTTTAGACCGCGCAAAAAATCGTGAGCTGTGCTGGATGCTGGAAGGATTACTGCAGGCACACACAAAAGAATTGCCGTTTACAGTGCCTGAGGCACCGTCAAGTGGCCTGTGGAGAGGACGGCTGGGGCGACTATTTGCGTGAGACTTCGCAAGGCATGGACCTTAAACCCTAAACCCTCAACCCCACACCCCAAATGCTAAACCTTCTCGAGCCAGACCTGCTTTGCTGCGGAGCCTAAAGAAACACAAAAACCTTCAAAACCCCAAACCCTCAAAGCCTAAACCAAAAATCCCCAAGCCTAAAAGCCTAAACCAAAAATCCTCAAGCCTAAAAGCTTAAACCAAAAATCCTCAACCCTAA